AATAAAGAATCGCCAGTAGAGTGGTAGTACTGGGCAAGCGGGCGCCGGGCTGTGTCCCTCCTGCACTAATCGCTTGGGTCGTCAGCCTTCTCGTCGGTCCAAGCCTCGACGTTCGATCAGGATGTCACTGAAACCCTGTCACACACGTATTTAGCTTTTATTTCTATGTGGTGTTGAATTTGAGTTTCTACATGAATAATATAAATTATACTCTGAGTTTGATAAGAGACACTTGTAATGCAATATGTGAATAATAAATGGTGTTGATTTGGGTTTTTTTTTTCCTACTGTTTCACAGTTGGCCTTTGTAACTGCTATTGGCTCTGGAGTGTTTTCTACACAGAAATTGTAAGCCTGTAATTTAACACGCAGATGGAAACGTGTTTGGTTTCCATCAGCCACAAACAATGCAGAAACAGAGTGTTAAAGTGAAATGACTGAGTTCAATTAGGACTTTTTTTTTTTCCCCAAGTCTTCCAATGAACAATCTATATTTATTTTCTCTACTAGCAGCTGTTGAAGCTTCCTGAATTGTGTGGTGTACGCTGCAATTCAATGTCAGTTAAACTGAGTGGGCATCTGGACACCTTTCCCCAGTCATGGTCAGCCTTTAATAGTGACCTTGGCTGGCTGCTGCCAGCTCAGCCACAACATTTTAGTGTCATCTAGTGTCACACAAAAGAAAGAGAAGGGTGGCCTCCTCTCCTGTGCTACCTGTTTGCAAGCAGAGAGTGTATTTGGTGCCCTTGCATGAAGCTATCTCCTCAAACCACAGCACTACTCTTGGTCAAAGGAGAAGGCCAGTTGCTCAGGTTTGTAGCATCCTTTTGTTTCTGATTGCTTTGTGCTATAGCAAATGGTGTTTTGAAGGCTGGGGTGTCCCAAGAGCGGGCCAGACCTGCATGGAGGTGATATTCATTTTGTGCTTTGGCTTTGGCACAAAAATCTCCCCAGTGTCACATGGGACCTGGCCATGGCTGGAGATGGGGTAGGGCATTTGCAGGATCTGGGCTTTGGCACTCATTGCACAGAGTCATGAGAGCAGCATTAATGCCGCTTCTCCTCACCTCCTCAGCCATTCCCTGCTGGGTCCCTTTCTGCAAGCTTTGCTCTGGTCATGGACCTGGGGCCTTCCCAGCAGGGGGTCGGGAAGAAGGAGAGGACAATGTCCTCTAGTCAAAGGGCAAGGTCCAGGATCCTGACACCTCCGCCCCACAGCCAGGAATCAGGGTTGCAGCACAGTTTGTTGGTGTCACTGACACCGAGGATGCACTGATTGTCTCAGTGGTCCCTGTGGGGCTCCTCTAGCAACAGGAGCTGCTTTGCCCCATAGTTCCTCACCTCAGGGAACAGGGCCAGGCCAGGCTCTGCTGCCCCTCCACGCCTTAAATACCTCTGGCCCTACCTGACCAGCTTCCTCGGCAGTAGGGAGGTTCCGATTCATGAACCTGGATCTCCTCCGAAGGGGAAACGGAGGTCGAGAGGTTCTGACCTGAACACAGACAGGCATAAGTGAGGGTGTAAGTGCACGAGCAGGGCCTCTCTCCCATGTCTGATATAGGAAGGCCTGAAGAAGGCTTGGACATTAATCGATATGCCTTAGCAAACCCTTCACAATGTCCCTGGCATTTGCTCACCACTGCCACCTTCAGCACTTTCCCACAACTGGCCCTCCAGTCATGGCTTGGTAAGTCACTCTATTAAGGTCTTGCATCTGCTCTTCCCAGCTAAACCTTGCTAACCCCATTTTGTCCTCACCTTCTCTTCAGCCTTTTGGCTCCCTCTCCTTGGCTATGGGGTCATCCTCTTTCCCTTAGTTATCCCTTCAGGTCACCTGAGGCACTTTTTACACTTTGCTCATAACCTCATCGTGATGAGAGCCCAAAACATCCTATTGTGTGCATGCAAAAGTGTGTTTGCATTCTCACATGCTATTCCACCGCACTTAGCTCGACTCTGTACTGTGAGCTCTATTTATTACAGTGCAAGACCATGTGTGGACCAGGTAGAGGCGACATTAAGGCAGAGCAAAACCACTGGACATCCTCCCATTTCTGCTGAGCTGGGCAAAAGATCATGAGTCAAGCTCTTCAGCCAAAAGTGCACCATCCAGTGGTCTTCAAACTAACCAGGTGCAGTGGTCTAGAGAAGAGCAGATGAAATGGATCTTCAGCCTACTGGAGGCATGAATGAGATGGAAGCAGAAGTACATCAGATGTGCTCGGACACATTTATTTATGAAGTGAGCTGAAACAGAGTCTCAGAGCAGAATTCCCAAAAGGAGCCATGGTTTACTCAGTAACTGTGCATTTTGCTCCAAGCTCTTCCCTCAGCCTTTACCCTCAATGCCTTGTTTTCCATAAAAGCCCGAAGGAGGCAGCCCCCAGCCCTTGCCAAGGAAAGAGTGCCCTCCGGCAAAGGACTGAGCTCCTTTACAGTCAGGACCACTGAACAGGAGCACCACAGCAAATCCTTTGAAAAGCAGTGCCAGAGAGAAGATGGCACCACAGGCAGCCCCTCCTGGTGGGGTATTGTCACATGTCACTGATTTCATCCAAAACTCTGTCTTCATCAAACTCCATATCCGCGGGGTACTTTGATCCATGGAAAACATGCAGGCATGACAACAGGGAGAAGAAATAAAGTCTGCTTTAAAAGCTTCTTGACACTACCAGAAAATAGTCTTTGAGCTGTATACAGACAAAGCTGGAACACCACCACTGTATAACTTCTGGGCTTCATCTGTACCAAGCCAGTGGTAAAAGAAAGACATCTTGAGGGACAGGAGGTAAAAGATGGGGAAGCACAGGAAAAACACATGTTTTTTCTTCATAGTATAAGACAAAAGTGGTCCTAAACTGTTTAAAGACAGAAGTGGATACAGTAAGAAGGAATAGACTAGAACAGAGTAGAATAGACCTGATAGTTCCCAGAAAGAATTGCACTTTCTTCTAAGAGACCAACTGCCACAATGTCTCTCAGTTTTCTGGAACAGACAAATTAATGTGGTGCTACATCACAGCCCGACAGCACAATTTTCCATGCACAAAGTGTCGTGACATGCTTTAATTCAAAGCCACCAGCGCTAAGGCGAAAATTCTGCTGCCTGTTAGACATCCTTGCTCACTGCTTGCTGTTTCTTCCATCACATCTTTTTTTTCTCAGCTAAGTGTCTCAAATTTAAAAAAAAAATTAAAAGGAGTGTTTTTAAGAGAGGGTGAGAAGGTCATGCTAGATAGTCAAGAGAAATCACTCCTTCTTGCAAGTGTGAGATTGTTTTCTCTGCATCTGCTCTGGCTTTCTCTTTAGTGAGCACAGTACTCTGTTGCAAGTCTATTCAATGCTCTAGCAGGTGTCTCACTTGGACAAAGTTTACAGTCTCACGTTCCTGGAGACGGGACAGGAAAAAGGAAGAGAAAAAGTTGCCTCCATCCTGGTTTCCGATTTCTTTCTTTTTTTCCCTTAAACCAGATTTTCTCCAGCAAGAGCACTGTTGAACACCAGAGACAGCATGCAGTGCCTGAGGACAAGCCATAGAGGGAGATACAGGAAGGCAAAAAATGAAAAGGAAAAACAAGAATTATTTGACCGCTTGAGAGGTGGTGGTGTGCTACAAATGGAGACCCTACCTGTCCTCAGTGCTGGCGCAGCACTAGGTTGCCTTTAGCTACAGCCGCCTGCAGGCCCAGCTAGAAGTGAGTGGTCTTTGTGTACTCAGTGTCTTGGCCACCATCTTTTCCTTTCACGTGT